GATGGAGAAGACATGGTTCCTGCCTCTGGGAGCTCCCAGACTGATGGAGGAGACATGGTTCCTGACTCTGGGAGCTCCCAGACTGATGGAGGAGACATGGTTCCTGACTCTGGGAGCTCCCAGTCTGATGGAGGAGACTTGGTTCCTGACTCTGGGAGCTCCTAGTCTGATGGAGGAGACAGCTCTGAGTCTGAAGAAAGAGGCATGGTTCTCTACTGTGGGAGCCCCCAGCCTGGTGTGGGAGCAGCCTTTCCCAACAGAGAATCCTGTCTGACGGTGGAGACATACCTAGCAGCCTGGAATCTAGTGCAAGTCATGCATTTCAGGTTGGGGGGGTCTCTCCTGTCAGAAGGTGGAACCTTCTTGCCCTCATGCCCTGTCTCATGGGGGTGGAAAATACCTGCATTCACCCCAACTCCCCAGTGTGTTGGAAGAGGCTGGATCCCCGAGGTTTAGTATCCACTCACCTGAGGAGAAAAGAACCCCACCCTCACACGACACCCCTGTTTACAGCCTTCCATCTGGCATATACCTTATATGAGCAAGGAGGCCTCTGTCTGATGGAGGCCTCTCTACCCTTGGTGTATGTCACTGTTTGAGAGACAAGTGACACATGGGGACACTCAGGTCAGATGGGAGAGGCACATGCCTATATCCCTCAGGCTTGTGAGGCAGGAGAAGGCCACCTTTGGGACTGTGTCCCCCCCCCCCCCCAAGCAGCTCTCCCAAGGGCCACCTGTAGCTCCACCTCCAGCGTGTCAGTCTTGCCCTGGAGTGTGACAGTCTTGAGTGTGTAGCGTCCAGCGTCTGTGAGATTCAGCTTTTGCACCATCAGTGAGCAATTGGCGAAGCCCACCTCCCGGCCAGTGTGTGCTGGGCCGGCGATCCAGTTCCCCGACGGCAGCTGGCTGAGCAGTCGGTTGGGCTCTGAGGCGGGTCCACGGTACCAGGCGTAGACTAGCAGGTCCTTGGGGTAACCCTGGACGGTCAGGGTCACGTCCTGGCCCTCCATTGGTTTAGTCGGTACAGGCACAATCATCATGGCCACAGCTGCGGCTGGAGAGAGAGCCACCACCACTGTCAGCCAGGACTGCCCTGGGTGTGGAGTGGAGCCCTCCTCCTCCCTTGGCCAGCTCCTTTGGGGACAGTGCTCCCTCTGAGGTGCTGGATGGAGGCGACTTCTTGGGTGATCACATAGACTTTCTTTCTCAGCGGTGTTTGCCAGGGGTACTTCTCCCCTCTCTAGATTTCAGCCTTGGGCGATGGAGCAGGATGCCCCTCCTATAAACTGGGAGACCCCAGAGAGTCTGGCCATGTCTCCTCTGTCATGGTGGAAACTTCCAAACTCTAGGGACCATGCCTCCCCTGTCAGGTTGGGAAACCCAGAAAATGTGGCTATGTCTCCCCCATTGGATTTCTGTTCCCACAGTGTGTCTTTTCTGTGAGAGCAGCAGACCCAAGAATATGGGGGTGGCAACTCCTCCATCAGACTGGAAGACCCTAGAGGGAAGAAGCTGTGCATATCCTGTATTGCATTAAAAATTCTCACAAGGTGTGGATTGTGTCTCCTCCATCAGATTGGGAAATTCTAGATTTTTTTTTTTTAAATCAAGTTCAGGACCCTAGAAGCTGGGAAGCCTATTCCATTGGTTTAAGAGTCCTTCCAAGGTGGGAGCCTCCGTCTCCTCCATCAGACCGAGAAATTGTGGGTTATCGGAGTAGAACATCTATCTAATCAAGTTAGAGACCTCTAGAGTTGGGAACGATCATCTCAATTGTATCAGAAAATTTCCATTGAAAGTGGGGGGTCATACTCCCCCATCAGATTTGCATTATTCCCAAAGTGGGACCTGTGTCTCCCCCATCAGACTAGGAATTTTAAAGTAAAGTAGTGCCATGTCTTCCAATGACCAGGCTATGCCTCCTCCCTTTGACTAGAGGGTTTTATGTCTCCTCCATCAGTGCCTGAGAGCCCAGGGAAAGTGAGGCATTGCCTCTTCTCTTTGGTTGGCAGCTTCCCTGATCCCTCTGAGATCAGAGAAAGACTGTGCCTCCTCCATCAGATCAGTTTGTTTCCTGGGTGGAGTGACAGTGTTGTCTCTCTGCTCTCTCTCTCTCTCCCAGCACCTGCCACAGGATCTCTGGCAGCCTGGGAGGAGACAGTTTTGGGGGTGTTACATTAGGTACACCTGGCACATACCTGCAGACCTTGGACACCCCCCACGTTGGCCCCGAGGTCATCTGGTCCACCCTGTCTCCAGCCAAGGACCCTCATGGGTAAAATGGGAGACACACTTACCACACTTACCTTTGGAGCTGCCATCTTTGCTCTGCGTGAAAGAGGGGTCCATCCCCACCCTTTGCATGAGACCTAGCCTGTTAGTGGAGGAAGAAGGGAGGGAGGAGGGGAAGGACGAGTCCCACTGTCCCCAAGGGACAATGGCCACTTGAGAAAAAACCCAGGTAGAATTAATAATGCCTTTTTTTTTTAAGACAAAGTCTCACATAGCCCAGGCTGACTTTGAACTGTCTGTGTAGCCAGTGATGGCCTCAAACTCTTGATCCTCCAGCCTTCACCTCGAAAACACTATGATTATAGATGTTCAAAGCCACCTGGATTTCTCCATTAGCCCATGGCTGCCTGTGGTTTTCCAGCTGTGGTGTGTGGGAGAGTGCACGGCTCAGGTCTGTGTGTCTTGGGTTAGGCAGGGCTCTTAGCAGCACTGGTACCATTTCTACCAACTGAGATGATTACTTGGATGGACATGGACCCTGGTGTCCCACTCTGCCACCCCGAAAGAAGGGGACACGGGGCTCACTTGTCACTCAGTCTAACCTCAAGGTAGAGGATATGAGCCACCAAAGACTTTCTAGGTGACAGGATTTGCCTGTCTCTTTTTGCACCTAGACAAGAGGGGGGCAATCCGATATGCCTGCCACCTTGTCACAAGTGGCCAATGAATGTGCTGGGGATCCACTTATGCCCTGGGGAAACGGTGGCCAGTCAGCTGCGTGGGCCTCTGTAGAGAGCAGGTGGTCCTCAGGCTGGGGCCTACTCACCGGACAGCTTGACCACCACGGAGGCAGAGCCAGACAGCAGAGTCTTGGAGTTCTTAGCAATACATGTGTACGTGCCCTCGTGGGCCGCAGCCATGCTGGTGATGTTCAGGTGATCCTGGCCGTTCGGCAAGGCCTTCCCGTTGAAGGCCCACACGTACTCTGGCTCAGGGCAGGACCGGGACACACACCACAGGGTGAGGGATGTGTTGAAGTCCACTTTAATGGTGCAGCCCGTTCGGGTGGTGGAATCTTGAAGGATAGCCACACGTTCAGGGCCGTCTGTAGGGCAGGAGGGAGAGACACAGGAGGTCAGGGGGGCTGGCATGAGGCACGCACCCAAGGACTTCTTGTCCAGCAGGTTGGGTCCCTGTGGCTGGTGGGGCTGAACACAGGGGAGAAAGAACTTGAGCCTTTCTTGATCAGTCGCGTCTCGGTCACTAACACTCTGTAATCTTGACACTCTCTAAGGCTCAGAACTCCGTGTTTTTTTTGTTTTTGTTTTTATTTTCATCTGTTAAAAAGGAATGTGTGGAATTGGGTGGAGGTGACACTCGCCTTTGGTCCCAGTGGAGGGAGGTAGAGGCAGGCGGATCTCTGTGAGTTCAAGACCAGCCTGGTCTACAGAGCCAGTTATGCAGAGAAACCCTGTCTTGAAAAACAAGAAAAAAAAAAAAAAGAAAGAAAGAAAAAGAAAGAAAGCAAAGCAAAACAAAACAAAACAAAAAATCTATGTTTTAGAATTCTCAGACCCTAGAAATCCCTGTATCTAAGAGCAGTGGTTCTCAGCCTTCCTAATGCTGAGATCTTTAATACAGTTCCCGCCGGGCGTTGGTAGCGCAAGCCTTTAATCCCTGCACTCGGGAGGCAGAGGCAGGCGGATCTCAGTGAGTTCGAGACCAGCCTGGTCTACAAGAGCTAGTTCCAGGACAGCCTCCAAAGCCACAGAGAAAAACCCTGTCTCGAAAAACAAAACAAACAAACAAACAAAAAAACAAAAACAAAAACAAAAAAGTTCCCATGTTGTGGTGACCCCAACCTAAGAATACTTTCATTGCTACTTTGTAACTGTAATTTTGCTACTGTTATAAATGATAATGTAAATAACTGTGCTTTCTGATGGTCTTAGGTGGCTCCTGTAGAAGGGTCGTTTGACCCAATAGGGTCTCGACCCACAAGTTGAGAATCCCTGGTCTAGACCCTCCAGGGTTATAACTTGGTTCTAGGATTCCGTTTCAGAGGGTGGTGTTTCTAGGCTTTGCCAGCTAGACTCTGGAGCCACGACTCTGCTTCTAAAGTTTCTGGCATCTAGATTCCTCTGGTTGTAGACCTCCAGGACTCCAGCCTGTTTTTTGTTTGTTTGTTTTTTCAATTTTTTTAATCTAATAATTCTTTTTGTTGTTGTTTAAGATTTTATTTATTTATCATGTATACAGTCTTCTGCCTGCATGTATGCCTGTGCGCCAGCAGAGGGCACCAGATCTCATTACAGATGGTTGTGAGCCACCATGTGGTTGCCGGGAATTGAACTCAGGACCTCTGGAAGAACAGTCAGTGCTCTTAACCTCTGAGCCATCTCTCCAGCCCTGTTTGTTTGTTTTTAAAGCCAGAGTCTCATTACGTAGCTGGTCTTGAACTCATAGCTATCTCCTGCCTCTGCCTCCTGGACTGAAGCGCTGTTTCACCACCACCAAGCACCTCAGTGGTTCGTTTTCTCAGGATTCCATGCCACCCTGCTGCTGCCCCAGGGACTACTACGTGCTTCTGTGATGAGCTTTTGTGATGTCCCCTCTGAGCCCTGAGTCCCGGTGATGTCATCCCCTACCCTTTTGAATCCAAACATCCCTGGGGCCGTGTTATCATTTTATGTAGGGAGCTTTTTCTTTTTCCTCTTCTGACAAGGCCTCAAGTACACTCAACATGCAGCAGGTAAGGACCGGAACTCAGGATCCGGCATCCACTTCCCCAAGGGCTAGGATCATAGATCTACACTAACGTGAGTAGTTTACAGTTCTCCAGCTGGAACCCAGGGCCTGGTGCACTCCACACAAGCATCCTGCCAGCTAGCTCAGCTGTATTCCTGATTCCCTGGCCATGCTTTTTTATTTTTATTTTTTTTAGGACACAAATCTTGTTACCTAACTGAGATGGTGACTTTCCCTCCCCTTCTGGAGACCTTGATACAGTAGGCGTATATTCATTCCTTCACTTGTCTACCCCGACCTGACATTATCAGCCTCAATCTGTACTTATGAAGGGGCCAGAAAGTATATTTTAAGAGGGACCCTTGCTCCTTCCTCAGCCTGCTTGCTGGGTGACTGTGTGTGGCCTCCTTCCCTCAG